TTATCAGATTTTCTCCATGGCTGCAATCTGTTCAATGAGAGAGACAGATGTTTTTCAAGGCATTGCAGCAAAGAAGACTGTATAACCAGAGCCGTGATGAGTGCTAAGAGAGGAGTGCCTTGTGCTCCTGGAGAGCGTGAGGGAGGTATAGTATTCCTTTGCTGAAGAGGTCACTGAAGCACCCCCCTCCCCCAGGAAAGGGTGATTCCTGCAACATGAGCAGGAATTAACTAGGTTGGAATGGGGTAAGACAGAGAGAGCATTTCATATCAATGTCCATAGATGGAGGTTGAGCAATTCAGTGAGTAAAGAAGGTGAGTGTAACTGGAGTAGGAAACATAAAGAGAATTCTAGAGGAAATGAGATTGGGCAGGAGCCTCTAAGTCCTTTCTACCTGAAATTTTCTTGTCGGCTAATCAAGCAGATGTCAGTTTATGGACATTGATTTCATACGATCACTTGATAAGCCAATTTTGTTCAAGTTGTACTGCTAATTGCACATAAACACAGCTTCTTCAGGTATAATGTAGACTACCTCTTCAAGAAATGTGTCTTGCAGCTATTCCACAGCAACTACACATTCCTGCTCAAAGACTCTCTTCATAGCAATTGAGTGGGTGATAGAATAGGCATGGATCAGGGATACTGTGGCTTCCTTCATGTGTAGACCTAAGAAATATGACAATTGACTTTGAGTCTCGTGAAAAAGAAATTCTTTAACCCTGCTAACCATATTTGAAGACCTAAATAAGGACAGCTATCAGATGTTGGGTTATTGACATCCATTTATAAACATGGAAAGATATTATCCTATGAACATGTCCAACTTCATTGGCCTTTAGACTTGGAGTTAAGATGCCTGCTTCACTGAAGAGCCACATTTTGGTTACCTAAATCTTTAAAGAAAATAGCCACAAAATAAATGTTTTGGATTTAAGGGGACACTACTCACAAAAAAGTGACAATTTTTCTCTAGAGTTATTTCATAACACGTAAAATATTTCATAAACTATCCACAGCCATACACATCTATCCAATGAATGTATTGGTTTAAGCCTCAAAATTATTCTTTCAGAGCAGAAACCTTACTGTGAACACAAAAATCACTGAGTGTATATTTTTCCCAAGTATAATAGCTGTTTGCAAGATATTTCTGTGGAAAAGATCTTATGAAAATTTTAAAGAACTGCTCTTCTTTCTGTTTCATTTTTGAAAACTCAAAATTGCATTAACTTATACAT